TTTTTTTTTTTTTTTTTAGTGTTACAACATTATTTATTTTGAGATAATAGTCATTGAAAAACCTCTTACCATTAGCTTCCACTTTTAAATGAAATAGCAAATTGCTCACTCACGTTTGTTATATTATTAACAATAGGAATTTTAGTTAATTTACAGTAATTCAAACATGGAATGAGACATATTTCATATTTCAAATATTCATATTTCAAATATTCAAATATTTCATATTTGTCTATTTCTAGATTAAACTCTCATTAAAAACGCTTTTCTAGTTATACATAGTCCCCAAAAGTGCAAGTAACTCTCTCTTTCATATTGTCTAGTAATCACTGAAAGAATTTGAATGTTAGAAATCTTATATTTATCCAGAAAGAATTTTTTTGTCTTTACATTATCTATTGTAGCCCTTGTTTTAACATTAACAGTGTTTGTCTGCTTGGCTGGAGCTTTGGCTTTTAAGACCTGAGCCATCTCTCTAGCTCGAAAGTACTCTGTGAACATAACAAATTGCACCAGACTGCTTTCATGTACTACTGTTGAATAACTGTATGTGCATTGCTAGGGAGAGTAACATTTATATTTTTAATGCTAAATATTAAAGTTGATTATTTCACTACGGCAAATGTACATTTTAATATATTACTTTTATTACTTCTTTGGGAATTTCACAATGTAATTTGAAAATATTCACCCATACTTCTCCCTCTAATTCATTCAGATCTATCCTGCTCTTCTGCTAGCCCTACTTCATACCCCTCTTTTGCCTTTCTATGATTTTTTACTGATTTCCATATATATATATATATGTATAGTTTATTTATTTTTTAAATCAAATCATAATTTTTACTTATTCACACAGGGGTTATAAATGCAAAAAGGCAGGACGTGGGGAAGGGGATGACACTGAAGCGTGGGTGTTCAGGGAGAGTACAGATATCTTTCAGAATAGGGTATCAGTTGGGTGAAGATTCAGGGGACAAGTCACTATGACTCTGCCTATGATTCACTTGTCCTTATCTAAGTTGGTATTGTCTGCCAAGGTTACCTATTTACAAGGTCTATGACTACTCAGGCTGGTAAATTTCCACAAAAGCTGCCCTGTTTACAATAGCTTATAGCCATCTGTTTCAGTGTTTTTCCACTGAGACCCAAGACTTGGTGTTAGTACACATGTATGAAAGGCCTATTGCTGATTTTAGGCCTATGGCTGATTTTAGGCCTTCAGTGTGTAAGCAGGGCTGCCCCTGACATCTCCTCCCTTCTCTAAGTAAGGGCTGTGGCGAATCTAATCTTGCAAAGGCGGGGATAGAGGCCTGACCTACAGAAATTGAAGGGGAGTTTGTAATGGCTCTGATCTCCCTGTTGTTGTCCAGTGAGGCATGAAGGCCATACCTGTCCCGATGTCTTTTTCCTGGAGAGGTGATACTTTTGACATCAACCCCTATGCAGTCAGCCTTGTCCCTCAGGGAACTCAGAGAGATATTTTTAACTTTTATTTATATTCCCTTGCAGTGCTTAGCTTTGCAGCCTAAGCAAGAATTCAGATCACCATTCTGAGGGGGTTCTGGGCCTGATCTATTTTGTAACAGCTATGATAGTACTTTTAATCAGGTGCTATCACACTTCTTAGTAGTCGTTCTCCATACTGAGGCATGGCTCTCTAGGCAAGCACACTAAATCATACTCACTGGATGAAGGGTTCAATTCAATTCAATCTCCCCAGAGCTGTACATATCGGGCCTGATGTGAACACTAAATAAAGAAGTTCAAGTGCCTCGCTCTGGGTGGTATAACATTATAGACATTTGCTTTTGCCCTTGAAAGCAGCATATGGGATGATAGAAAGCAATTTATAATCAAAAGAATGATTTCTCCCACAACAGGGTTTCGATTAGCAACATAGTTTTTTTTTTTTTTTTATAATAGTAGACTAAAAATAACCAGCTCCTGTTTCTGCTCCTTGAAGAGGTTTACACATTCTATAGCAAGGGTGTGGGCAGGTTCACATTCAGTACCTTGACTATAGCCCAGATCTGTACTGCAACCATGGGAAACTTTCTTGAGATTATGAGACCTAGCTTCTACATCTGTATTGTCAGTTCAATGATGGACTCTCTATCGCAGAAGAGAGAAAGGATTAAATATTCATCGTAGACATAGTAAATGGTCAGTACTGGTTATTGTCATTACCCTCAAAGACCTTCTAGTTAATAGTCCAGCCCTCCTTGGGCATTCTCCATCTGCTTGGCTGTGCTTCTGTGCTTTCTCCTTCACAGGCAGGTGAAGCCAAGGGCCTGTCTTGTGGAGTCTTGTCTAGATGAGTGCTCCAGTCTCTCTGTGGTTGTCATCAAGGCAGGAATGGAGTAAATCTGCCACTGACTTGATTCGAACAGCAGGAGTCTGGGATTGTACTCCAGCCCAGACGCTGCAATTGGGCAGTAGATGCTAAGTGCAAACAAAACCATTAGGCTCAGCTACCTGTTGACTCCCTAGGCAGTGCAGGCTAGCCCAGCAATTCATTGCAGGGCAATTAAGCTTGAAGGTATTCTCAAAAGAGCAAATGTCTAACTAGGTTGTGAACTGTAAGTAAGATTGGGTGTGACTGGCCTCTGTGACTGTCTTGGACACTGGTTATCTACTATCATAGAAAACCAAGCATTCTTATTAATATGGATATGTCACAGTAAGTAGATTAATAAGATAGATTGTGAGCGTGTGTGTGTGAGTGTTTGTGAGTGTTTGTGTGAGTATGTATGTGTGTGTGTGTGAGTGGGTGTGTGAGTGTGTGTGTGAGTGTGTGAGTATGTGTGAATTGTGTATGAGTGAGTGTATGTGAGTGTGTGTGTGAGTGAGTGTGTGTGTCAGTGTGTGTGAGTGAGTGAGTGTGAGTGTGTGAGTGAGTGACTGTGTGTGTATGTGTAAGGGTGTGTGAATGTGTGTGAGAGGGTGTGTGTCTGTGTGTGTCAGTGTGTGTGTGAGTATGTGTGAGTGTGTGTGAGTGTGTGAGTGAGTGTGTGTGGGTGTGTGTGAGTGTGTGTGAGTGTGTGTGTGTGTGATGGAGGATTCACCGAGATGAACAGACTAGACAGTGCACTGGAGTCTTATGACCCTCCTATGGTCAGCTGAGGACCCTGAAAGATACCCAGATGTTGTTTAGCAGGAACTCTGGCTGCCAAAGGGGCGAGCACAGATCTCTTTTAGATGACATCATTATCAACTTATAAAAGTGCCCTCAGCTCACAATTGACAAAGTATGAGATTATAAACATCACAGGTAGGCGTCAGATATGGTTATGCACAGAAGCTGTCAGTGCCAGACTTGGGTGTGCAGTAAATCCAGCTGCAGAAAAAAGAATGCAAAGTCTATAACACATATAAAACACTTAATGAATGAAGGATGAAACTACAGCTAAGACTGTGGCAGCGATGTGTGTGAAGACGAACCAAATGGAATTCTCCAAAATAAACAAACTGTTAGAATAAAAGCTAAATTAGACAGTGAGACCAGGTGGGAGGCTACTGAAGTAGTTCATGTGTCAGAACACAGCTGTGGGCGTTACCAGATTTCCCAGTGCCTTGAATAGAGAGAGCAAAGGAAAGTGATTCCACATAATACATGATACTGAGGAAGAAGAGCGAGCTATGAGAATGATTTGGGAAACAGTAGAGAAGTAAACTTTGGTCCTATAAGATAATAACATTGCCCAATTTTTAGGCTAGAATGCACATAGCTAAGATACTGGACAAATGGGAGAAAGGGTGTGGTTGCTTGTTAAATATCACTCTGAGCCTGACCACTCAGCACGCGGGAATTTCCAAGAGAGATTATAAAAACAGAGTAGACGGCAGTGAAGTACAAGAAAAAGAACACGTGTAAATAAAAACAGAACAGAAATTGTCAAACGAGATTAAAATGTACACAAGCAAGTTGGAACTGAATGCTATTAACAAGCATCACAGAGTGTGTAAACACAACAGTTAAAAGTGAGACAATAATTTAAAAAAACTAGTGGTTATGAAAAGAAATCTATACTAGCTATAATAATATAAGACAAAATAGAATTTGAAATAAAAACCATTAGGAGAAGGACCAACCCAATTCAAAACAAAACCAATTCTAAACTTGAATGCATCTATTAATAAACTCTCAAGATCTGTCTTCCTTACACAAGATAAATAAACCAATAAATAATAAGGTGGTACGGAGTCTAAATTAGGGGACATCAGTACATTTTCTTAGGGAGAGATGTACTTTAGCATATGAAACTAGTCCTGTTGGTGGATGTTAAGGTTTCAATAAGCCAGGAGCATATTAAAAGCCAAATAAATTCAGAAAGCATTTGTCAGTCAGAGTAGCCTAGTTACGCTATTGCAGACAAACATGATTCTAACTGTAGAAACAGCCGTGTTGGTCACTTTTATGTAGGCGTGCTTGATAAGCACGTAGTAGCTTCTACCTGAGAAAATAACATTGTATATTGGTCTTTCCTCTTCCTTTCAAGGAATATGGTACTGTTTTCTGGAGTACAACAGCGTTCAGCGGAAGCCACAGTCCGCTTTCTGGATGTACGGCATCGGGATTCAGACGAGAATGAGCATGTTCTTTCGCTTGAAGGAGACCTGGTTTTCAATGAGTGAGTAGGTTTAAGAGCCCCTTGTGTTAACATGATGACAATGGGGAGCCTTGATCGTCCAAGAGGAGGCTCAAATTTGACGCACCCTGCTGAACACACGGATCCCTCAGCGATGGCGTAAATGTCTTTGAACTTTATTACTTATCGGTTTATCTTGCGGAGGATGACAGATCTCCAGAGTATGCTAATAGAGGCATTCGAGTTTAGAACTGGTTTTGTTTCTAGTGAATGGAAAAGTTGCTATGAACATATTGTGTCATCTAAGGTAGCATCCCAGACCAGTTGTCATTCATTTAAAATGGTTTGATTTGGGCATTTACGGATGCTAACCTATGAAAGAAGTAAATGACTGGTTTTCGTCTTGAATTTTGTTTTTAACACTTCCCCTTTTGTCATTCATATTCGGCCCTTACATGTCAAAGGAAGTCAGTAAGGAGCGTAGTACAGGAAGAAGTGTGTAGGTATCGTCTGCTTGCACAGTTATTCCCAGCATGGTATCATCTCCGTACGTTTCAAGCCTGGTTTTGCCTCTTCCTCCAGGAAACACTGGACATTCAAGAGCAGTTAGTAAGTCCCCTAGTTCCAGGCCTGAGTCTCCTATTCAGTTAGCTATAGTGCATGCTTTATATCAAGGATGTTTCTGCTTTGTGCACTTACTCGGAAACAGAGAACAGAGTGTATCTATTTGAAGGACAATCAAATTCCTCTAGTGTAGCCATTTTCATGCCACTGTGTGAAATGTGTAAGTCTAACATATAATATTCTTTGACAGTACAAATTTAGAATACAGAATCATTTTGATATATTTCATTTTCTTAGGTTCGTTCAAGGAAAACAGTTTTTATAGTCCATAGTGTTGACTCAAATTAAGTGTCTTACGAGAGTAAAATATGCCCATATAAACAAATGGATTATTTAGAAAAAAAAAAAAAGACAAGAAAGCACAATGACTCATTGTCAAGTTCCTACCAGGACTCAGAATCTTGGAGCTAACTGACTTTTACAGACATGGCCCTCAGAGTACCATGTAACCCCTGAATCACGGTAGTAGAACACCTGGGGGAGGCAGTGAGCCTCCATCACTGAGATCGCTCAGCATGAACAAACAGCTGTCTAGTCATTGGTTCCAGAAGAGAGCCCTCAAGGCAACCTTCCAGGTCTGCTGCTAGCAGACCACATTTCCTCGATCTTAGGATCTCAAACTTTCTACTTCTTTTTTTTTTTTTAAGGATTTATTTATGTTATGTATATGAATACACAATTGCTCTCTTCAGACACACCAGAAGAGGACATCAGATCCCATTTCAGATGGTTGTGAGCCACCATGTGGTTGCTGGGATATTAACTCAGGACCTCTGGAAGAGCAATCAGTGCCCTTAACCGCTGAGCCAACTCTTCAACCCCAACTTTCTACTTCTTAACGTTCCCAAAACTTTACTGCATCTTATGGTCACTGAGTAGTTATTTTAAAAATTAAGGATTTCTAAAACTGACGTTAGTGACTTAAAGGTATGCGTTAGAACTGAGGGAGGCCATGTAACAAGAGTGTTTGGCTTCAGGAATTTTTGAAATCAGAGTTGGCCCCCAGATAAGATAAAGTAACAGTGCAGGAGGCATTCACTAGAAGGATGTGCTCTGGTTCACCCAACTCAGGGAGGCAGAACGAGGCTTAGACTTTTTACCTTTATTTGTACCCAGGAAAGTCCCCAAATAGTAAGAACAATACGTGACCCAAGATGTCCTTGCTTTATGGCCTTCTTTACATAGGACATTTTATTCCTCGAGATTCATTTTCTTCAGTAACAATAACTTTCAGCCTATATAGGTTGTAAACCTCAATCCAACACTAAACTGTAGAAAAATCTTACTTTTATCCTCCACCTCTGCTTCTCGAGTTCTGCTGGCCTATCCCCACTTTACCCGGTGCTAGAGATCAAGCCTGGAGTGTCGGGCATACTAGGCAAGTGCTCTACCAACTGAGCTATGCCCCTCCGTTTGATTCTAAGATGTTACGGTTCATGTCTCCCTGGATTTATTCCTTCTTAATAGTGTCTGTGGTGGAAGGGTCACAGAATGAGCCAGACACCACGGGTAGGATGGTCACCTTAAGAACTTGCTTCTCTGGTAGTTCCTCACTTAGTACCAAAGGAAACCTTCTTTTCTTTCTTCCATCCTTCTTTTCCCAGGTCTGTGACTCCTGAGAAATGTTTCCATAGCTGAAATGGAGCCAATTCATGGGGTGACTCGAAACCCAACAAAGGCTCTGCTCTGTGTTTTTAATACTTCTTAGAGGGGTTGAAAGTGAGCTTCTAAGACTGGCATGGGAGAGGGGACACCATTTAAATTGTGTCCTGTCAGAACTAGCAGACATGAGCTGCTAAACTCAGCCCTGGTTTTGCAGAAGTCGCTTGCTTCTGGGCTGACTTGTCTACACACTGACGTCTTTTCTTGTTTAGTGATCATCTTGTCCGTCATTGAAGTCCTCATCATCATTGTACTGATCTTCCTCAGGACTCGGATCCGAGTGGCCATCATCCTGCTGAAGGAAGGAAGCAAGTAAGGGGTTCCAGAGCTCGTAGTAGATGTCGAGTGTGCATGTGTATGTGTGTGTCTCTGTGTGTGTGTGTCTGTGTGTGTTCATAGCAGATGCCAGGTGTGTGTGTGTGTGTTCATAGCAGATGCCAGGTGTGTGTGTGTGCTCATAGAAGAGTCAGGCATGTGTGTGTATTCAT